TTTTTTAATAGAATAGAAAATACTGGGTCACGGTTCTTTGTTCATATTCACCCTCCCGTTACTGTGTCTTATCCCTTCTTCTCCCACTCACTTTCCCTTCCCAAGTAGTCATGCTTCTGATTAGATATAGCATTCTTTTTATTGTATGTATACAATACATTTAAATCATACATTATTACATATGATGAGTATAGTGTATATACTAAATATATCATTTTAAAATGAGCATATAATATATTAGCTACTATTAGGACTTTTTTCATGAAAGAAGAACGGAAAGCCTATAGAGTTGGGAAGAAGGTATGGGTGCTTGGGGAGAAATGGGGAAGCAGCCATTGTTTTGAGGCAGATTTGAAAAGCTGATCTGCAGAGATTCAGGGTTGGGGGGGGAGATGGGAAACAATAGGGTGCCAGAAATGGAGACAGGTTTTATGTAGTCTGAGTGCGGGATGGTCTTTTTAGGCAGCTGCAGCAGAATCAGGAGTCAATAGCAGGTTTTAAAACTAATTTACACTGTGAACAAATGACACACTTTTTCTTGTCTCCCTATGGTTGTCATCTTAATAAAAATCCTTTGCAGTCTCTGATCTATGAATTTCATATTTCTGAAACTCTTCCATCCACACTAAGTGAGAAATGAACATCACAGAGATCATGTGACTGTAAGGTTATTTTGGAGAGGGTGGTGTTGCCCTGTTTTATTCACTCAACCCCAGAGAACATACTGCAAAGATTTTCCATCTAAAACCCCGCACAAACTTGTGTTAACCTGCAGGAATTTTTCAGAGTAAGAGAGTACTTGCTAAGAGATTTAAATCTCTCAAAAGGAGGGTAAACTTTATTGCTGTATCATATTACCCAGATTCCAGGACCTGCTGATATAGGCACATTCCCAACAGAAATGGGAAGAGTATGACAGTTTATTGCTTTGTGGACATCTTTGAAAATCCACCACATTAGCAAGGTTTTATTTAAGGAAAAAATGTTTAGGTCCCTCCCTCCCTCACCACATTAGCAAGGTTTTATTTAAGGAAAAAATGTTTAGGTCCCTCCCCCTAAGTATTACTTTTATGTTGATAATTATTCTGATGTCATTTTTGTTAATTTACATAGGATGTATTATGTATGTTATTAGATGAGAGAAAAGTTACTCAGATTCTAAATAATACAGTTAGGACAGTTCTTTTTCTTATTGATGGTTAGAGTTAGCATATAAACAAGTGTGTTCATAATGGCATCATCATATGTCTGTGTCATGATGTTTTCTTCTCTTTTGTTTCCCTTCTCCATTGCTCTCCATGCCTGTCTCTTTGAAAACTGCTTCCCTTCCTTCCCCTGACAATATCGCCTTCTCCTTTCCTATTGGTATGTTCTACTTCCCCATCCCTTAGGATGGCTTCCTTTCCTCTTTTTAGTTCTATGACCTACAAGGACATACATATCAATGCATGCATGTATATAATTTAAAAATTCAACTTGGGTTTCACATATCTGAGAGAACGTATAGTATTAAGTCAGTTCTTTTCCCTCCTCTCCTCCTCCTCCTCCTCCTCCTCCTCCTCTTCTTCTTCTTCTTCTTCTTCTTCTTCTTCTTCTTCTTCTTCTTCTTCTTCTTCTTCTTCTTCTTTTTCAGATAGGTTTTCTCTGTGTAACTTTGGGTGTCCTCGAACTCACTCTGTAGATCAGACTGGCCTGGAACTTAGAGATCAGTAGACACCTGCCTCTGTCTCCCAAGTGCTGGGATTAAAGGTGTGAGCCTCCATGCCCAGATACCAGTTTTATTTTTGATTTCAAGAATTACCTGATTGGAGACAAAGATAGGCAGCTCCCTGTGAGTTTGAGGCCAGCCTAATCTACATAGAGACTCCCAGGTACTGTCTCAAAAACAAACAAACAAAAAAATAAAGGAAAGGAAGAAGAAAGGAAGAAAGAAAGAAAGAAAGAAAGAAAGAAAGGAAAAAATTCTGAACAGTATTTAAAACTCATAACCTAAATTTAGTCGTAAAATAAACTATCTAAATTTTGATAATAATGTCTAAATTGAGAACTGCACTGTGAATCTCATTTGATACTGAAAAATTGTGTAGCCAAGATTCACAGGTCAAGGGACAGATTTTGACTAGGTATGATATATTATGAAAAATCATTTTTGTTCCTGTAAGTTTCTTTTTCTAGCTATAAAGTAAGTTACATAATAACCATTTTATCAGATTGTCCAGAAAGGAGATAATGAAAGATGGGGTATTAGTTTATATTTAGTAGTCAGCATATTGTGACAAATATTTAAAACATTTAAATTATATGGCTAATTAAAAGGATGGCAGAGGTCATTGTGCCCTTAGAAAAGAACAGGCAAGATGGCATCATTAGAAGAGAAAAATCAGGAGTGAAAGCATTACTCATTGACTTAAAATACTAAAAAGAACAGGCAAGATGGCATCATTAGAAGAGAAAAATCAGGAGTGAAAACATTACTCATTGACTTAAAATACTATTTTGTTTATATTATTTATAATTAATATTGTAAATGTGTCATTATAGTTGATGGTATTATTTATGTCCATACTATTCCCAGCTGATCAAAAGCTGTCACTCTGAGAACTTGGCATTTAATAGAGTCTGACTCAATTTTCCCTTGATTATCACATATCACCATTATTTTTACTTGATATCTGCAGCATTCCCCAAAGACCCAGAAATTGAAATGAGCGGTCTACTTGTGCATGGGAGACCTGTCATTGTAAACTGCACAGTCCCTGATGTGTACCCTTTTAACCATCTGGAGATTGAATTGCTGAAGGGGGAGACTACATTGATGAATAAAAGTTTTGGGGAGGAAATGAGCATAAAATCCCTGGAGACTAAAAGTTTGGAAATGACCTTCATTCCTACCACCGAAGATACTGGAAAAGATCTTGTTTGCCGGGCTAAGTTACACAGTGGTGAATTGGAATCTGAACCCAAACAAAGGCAGAGTACACAGACTCTTTATGTCAACGGTAAGTACATATGTGGGGCAGCTACCAATGAATATGGATTTCTTTATTAAGTCCACTAGGTAATAGCTAACAGAAGGTTAACAATTAAAACCTCTATGAAGAAAACTGAAAAGGAAATTCAGGATAACAGTAATTATAATAAACTATTCTCTATAATATAAAACAAACCATTTATTTATGCAGGGGTCTATGCATTAGCATTCAGGAATGGGCCAGCCAGGCAGCTAGCTACTCAGCCTCAGATAGAATCAGTAGAGCTCAGGCAGCCACCTTCAGCTAGGCTGGCAGCTGGCTTGCCACAGGTAGCTTCACTTAAGTGTCTGAGCCTTATGTGCTCGGTCATTTCTCAGTGTGGCATCATCTCTAGGAAGGGGGTCTAGATTTACTCTTCAGAACACAGCTAAGAATGGTGGTGATAAAAGCCTACGTCAGAAGCCCTGCCTCCACCTCACACCGCCATGTCACTTAACCCACATCATATTGGCCAAATCACCAACCCAGGTTCAAGGTGTAGTAAATAGGTTTTTCTTATTCACGGGGAATCTTCCAATGCATCATGCTTTGACAATACACACCATTGACCTTTCAGTTTCCAATGCTCTCTACTCCTTTCTCCCTAAGAAACAGCGTCACTTTTATCTTACTCTGGCTCTTCTCACAGGGTCACACAGAGCCTTCTCATCCACCATGTCCCCCAGAGACTACACTGTACCTGATTTTCTATGCTTTGACATGGAAAGCATTTCTCCAGACTTTTCTGCCATTGGAAAATATCCACCCTTCATCTGAGTTCTAACTCTCATTGTGTCTCCTCCACAGAAACTTCCTGGGCTGGTTGTCACAGTTTGTAAACTACACTAACCCATTCCATTGCCTAGTGTTACAGCATTGTCCAGACTCCATGGAATTCAGGACATAAAAGGCTTCAGCTAAGTGTCTTGTCCTTTTCAGATGCCCCCAGGGAAATCACCATCTGGGTCAGCCCCTCTCCCGTCGTAGAAGAGGGCAGTCCTGTGAACCTGACCTGCTCAAGCGATGGTTTTCCAACTCTAAAAATCCTGTGGAGCAGACAGCTAAGTAATGAGGAACTGCAGCCTCTTTCCGAAGATACAACGCTCACCTTAATGTCTGCAAAACCAGAAGATTCTGGCATTTATGTGTGTGAAGGGATTAGCCAGATGGGAACTAGCAAAAAATCAGTTGAACTGGTTATCCAAGGTGAGCAGAGTATGACTTTTAAGTTATTCATGGCTAGTGCGTTTCCTATTGAGCTACTGATAGTGAACAAGGTTATCTTTGAAAAGAAAGCCTTTCGGGGTTGAGAGATAGCTTAGCAACAAGGAGTGCCCACTGCTCTTACAAATGACCCAGGTTCTGTTCCCAGCACTCACTGCCTGTACCTCCAGTGCCAGGAGATCGCATGCCCTCTCCTTGCTTCCATGGACACTGCACTCACACGCAGGTACATACAAATATGTATAACTTAAAATAAATCTTAGAAAGAAAAGAAAAACCATTACTTTAAAATTATATTTATGTGCAACAAACAAACAAAAGCAGCAGATAACAACAACAACAAAGTACGTTAAAAAACAGGTCCACAATGCTCCTGGAATGAATTCTCATTTAAGGCCAGATCACTTGTCTTAAAGTCTTATTACCTCAAATGAAATGCTCACTCCAAAAACTGAGCTGGAAGTTCAGGAACACTGAAGAGATTGTGGTTTTAGTGAAAAGACAAGGGTAGGAAATTACTTCTGATTAAAACAATAACATTGGGCAAGTCCCAAGAAGCTGCCTAGGATTTGTTTAGAAGTCCAAGAGGGCTCCTTTTGTAAACTCTGAGATTAAGGATCACAGTCATTGTGCCCTCTGGCCTCCTAGGCTGCTGGCACAGAACCACTAGGGTGAATATAAATATAGGTCTCCCTTCTCAATGATAAAGACCCAAAATTGACACAAAACAGGTTCTGTTTGGTACATCGAAGCCTTAGGCTTCCATGAGCATAATTATAAAATAACCAACTTGCATTGCTCCTCATGCGTTCTCTGGGGGTATTTGGGTTGCACTCTTCTTTATCTTTTGCTATTATTCCTGGCAAACTATGTGCTGGGTTTTATGTTGTTGCTGTCCCATTTTGCTGAGGTCTATAATTCAAAGGAAGAACCTGGGAAGGGTACTACATAATTTCAACAAAAACCTTTAGGAGACTTTCAGGGCCAGTCTGGGCTACACTGTTCGATCATCTGAAAGAAAAGGGAATCCAAGTATGGATATCATTGCCCTGTGGCCTTGGAAGACAAGCATCAAAGTGACAAAACAGATGGTTTTCAGCAAATATTTATAAAACAGGCATTGGTGTTTCCCTGGAAGGCTTATTACCTCAATTGAGATGAGCCCATAAAACAGGCATTGGTGTTTCCCTGGAAGGCTTATTACCTCAATTGAGATAATTGACCTTGAAATTTGATAATTGGTAACTATGTTCTTGAAGACAGTTTAAAGAAAATGTTATACATCTTAATTTCCTAGTCAGGGAGCTCCTGGCTCATAAGGCTTGTGCACTGCAAGGAAAATTTGGTGATCAATGTGATTTTTAAAAAAATTAAATTTTTTTTCTGCATCTGAATTCTACAGCTACTTATTAAACAATAATTTTTTCGTCCTTGGCTGGGTAAAGAATCGTAGTAAGGGCAGGGAAGAAGCCTGAGATGCGTCTTCTCTTGTTTACAATACAATCATTTAGAATTGGGCAAATGCTAGACTTCTTCGCTTGCCTTCCTCACAGCTCATACAGCAAGCACCACAAACACCTTGGTGGTGGCTTCCGAAGTTCTTAGTCAGAATGCTGTACCTCTCTGCTCCATCCAAGCTAACTGCCCTTCTCCCCTCAGACTCTCCAAAAGATATACAGCTTACAGCCTTTCCTTCCGAGAGTGTCAAAGAGGGAGACACTGTCATTATCTCCTGCACATGCGGAAACGTGCCAGAAACCTGGATAATCCTGAAGAAGAAAGCAAAGACGGGAGACATGGTGCTAAAGTCCGTTGACGGAGCGTACACCATCCTCAAGGCACAGCTGCAGGATGCGGGAGTGTACGAGTGCGAATCTAAAACTGAAGTCGGCTCACAATTAAGAAGTTTAACCCTTGATGTAAAAGGTTAGCTTGTTGTGTTTGTTTGTTTGTTTTTGCTTTTGTTTTAATTTTTCAAAGTATCCGAGGAGAGGAACAAGTTTCTACTATTAGATGGAGATGGTAAAACGAGACTGAATCCCGTGCTGTTTCTTCAAATACTCGTGCACAGCTGTTCCGTCCTATAGTGTTGATCCAGGAAGTGGACATTAACCATCGGTGAATGTGGAATTCCCATTGCTATTTTTTTTTCCCAAAGATGCCAGTTCATCATTGGTTTCTGAGGCCTTAGATTTGCTAAGTGTTTAACCGTATTTTACAACCTATCCCCTAAGGCAAAAGGAAACTAAAGAACGGCTGGTAGAGCAGAAAAAAAATCCTCTGTCGACCTTGCCCCCACTGGAAAGGAGCTCTGCTTTGAGAGGACAGAATAACTGCTTGTTTTCTGCCAGGGTCTTTTGTGAGGATGCTAAGTGGGGATGATGGCCTGGATCCTGAGCAGGATCTCTAGATCTCACAGGAGCTTCCTTTGAAATCCATGCCCCAGTTGTCCGTGACTGGGGGTAGGGGAGGCACTCAATGGCCCCATCAGAGACATATTGGCACTCCTTAATTTCCTGTTCTCTCTTGTGAGTGCCTGCTAATTTTATTGATTCCAGCCTTGACTAATGAGCCTCAGACCCTTTGTATACCAAAGATCGGTTGGGTGTTGAAATCCAGTCTGGTAGAGTGAACAACATTGTTAATGAATGCCAAATCTTAAGAGGTCTGGCATGGACTATAGAGTTAACATCAGTGTAGAAAAAAAATCTGAATCCAAGTGAGAAAACAGATAAAAAAAATTTTACCAATCTGGCCAAAATTCTCAAGATTACAAATCTTAGCATACATTTTTTTTTCTGTCTTCACAGTACCTCTTCACATCAGAGCAATATCAATACATCCACTTAGAAATGTTTTTAAAGGGGGAAATACAATAATTACATGTCAAACTTCTAGCTACCCACCTGCAGTGATTTTTCTGAAAACATGTGATCTGGACAAGGAAGCTACCATGTTTTCAAAGAGTGGGACAGTGTCTTCCACATGTCATTGGGCATGATGCAGCATGTATAGCTGCTGCCTCCAATGAGGGGGACCAAGATCTCAATTAGGAGTAGGCTAAGCTGGATTCCTTTCTGTTTTCTTTAACCCTTGGTACCTCAGCTAGCCCTAATTTAGCCTAGCCCTAGGAAATTGCACTCCTAAGAATTCTGTCATCCTGTGTGTGCATGGCCATTTCTCCTCAAGACCATGAAAACTGCTTTTTCTCTTTCTAACTTTCCCTTTCACATGTTGTCTTTTCTAATTGCTTAATTATTCTCTTGAGCATTTGCCACTTTTCATTTATCCTTTAAATGAGCAATGAAAGCGTATTAGTCACCCAGCTAGACAGTCATGCTTGTAATATGAAGATGGTTTCAAACAGCTGCATATGAATAGAAACCCGAAGTTGACCTTGTTTTCCCCCTGGAAAGTTTGAACTAGTTCTCCTTTGTGTTCAGCTGAATGTTTATGCTTATTTGGTCTTGTTTGTCTTTGGCTTAAATGTATTCCATTGATACAAATGAGATTTTAAATTGTCTGTATATTGTCATTTTCAGTACTACATTTATGACCATGTGTCAGAATAATAGGATTTAGAAAGAAAAACTTTATTATTACTCAAATAATATTTTGGTGTTACTCAGTGTGCCAGTAGTGTCTTAATTGCTGGCTAGTTGTGAAGCATCTCATGTAAACACAGCTAGCTATCTGTATAGAGTTTTCAGTCAGGAAAGGAAACAAATTTAACAGATAATTGCATGAACAAATGTTGAACTGCAAGCTGTTAGGGGAATATGAAAGTGTGGTGGCTGGATTTTGAAGGAATGTTGGAGTATTAGTTTATAACAAGGGAGATGTAGGTCAGAGAACTCACTCTCAGAGTAACTGAGACATTTGCTTAAATGAAATATCTGAAGACCACCAGTAAACCAAGAGAGACTGTCAGTGCTAGAGGGGAACAATCATGTAAAGATGCTTTTGCTTATACACACAAAAGACAGCACTTACACACATGGCAGCCATCCACAAGAGTGCTCTGTCACGGCCACACTCTAAGTGTTATACTAGATAGGCATTTCAATTCATGACATCAGAGCCACGGGACTTTATTAGATATTTCTGATTCCTGTTTCCATTAGACAGACATCACTAAAATGTGTGCCCTCCTTTCCATTTTCTACCGAAAGCAATCTTCGAAAATCCAAATCTGTTGAACCAGGAGCTGTCATCTTCATACCTATCATGGGCATGTTAACCATGAGCTACTTATTTGGATGTTTCAGGGAGGAAAAGTGTGTCTGATGAGTCTCAGTGGTCCTCAGCATGGCTTTCCCCTTATTTGAAGAACTAGTTGCACTGCTACAATAAAACACACACTGTGATTAAATTACTTCCCTTTGTACTAGACGTTAATTGTATCCATTTGGTTATTTTCCAGGAAGAGAAAATACAAAGAGCCATTTTTCTCCTGAACTCCTTGCACTCTACTGTGCATCCTCCTTGATAATACCTGCCATTGGGATGATCATTTACTTTGCAAGAAAAGCCAACATGAAAGGATCATACAGTCTGGTGGAAGCACAAAAATCAAAGGTGTAGCTAACATTGGAAATGTTCTGGAAAAGACATTATTTATAAGCCCCAAATCCTTAATATTCTTCATCATCCCACTACCACCACCCAAGACACAAACCAAGCTATGCGTTCAGAGTTCCCAGAACTCTTCTCAGTAAAGCGAAAGTGGATGCTTGAGCTTTTGCTGAATGCAAGAAGCCAACCAGAACTGTTCTTCTTGACAAATCCCCATCATTGTGAGGAAGTGACTGGAACAGACCCATGAGGTGTATACGACCAGCATAATCTGTATATATGTAAAATAAAATTATGTCATCACAAAGTTGTTTAGAATGGCAGCACTCCATATGCAGGTCAGAATATAATCAAACAGTGTTGCTTGGACTGACTGTTGTAACTTAATGCATCTTAGAAAAGTTTAATATTAATATTAATATTCAATAGGCAGCTGACCAGTGTCACCTTCTTTTAATATTTTGTTTTCTTCAACCTAATTTTATTCCTGTGAATTTTTATTGACAATGATTTCATATTTTAAAAAGAAGCCAGGGTTTTATATTCTTATAGATAATTGATAAAGAGGGCACTGGGTTGACTTTCAGGTACTACATTCCTAATTCATGGCATAATGATTAGCCAGTTTTCTCTACATGGTACTGTATGGTACGGGGACATGTTTCTTCGTCGGGATCTTGTATAATGACTAATATGGTTTAAAATGCGACTGCTTTTGACTTATCTTTTATAAATAGTATAGTAAAGTGAAAGTTTCTGAACATTGAAAAGTTGTGTTTCATTTGTTATAAGCTGTCTCCTTGAATTATTGGCTTGCTCTTTCAGAATTGTCAGCTATAAGAATAAAAACTTGAAACTACGAACAATACAGATACTCAAAACATGGTCTTCAGACTACCTTTATCAAAAGCACCATGAGAATATAATAAAAATAAACAGACTTATTCATATCATCTTAAATTAGTGAGTTAAGATCTATAGTTTGGGATTCTTGGAATCTGCAACAATTAAGTTAAAAATCAATAATACACCCAATATATTATATGCATAGTAAATCAGGAGAGAATGAACACTTAGGTACAAGCTACAAAGTCTAAGAGACAACACTATTATTTTTCAGGTCATCTTGTATGCTTAATACAGGTAGCAATTCTCTTCCCACTGAGCCAGAAAAATCCTGAATTACAGACTGATCATTTTTTCTTTCTCTGGAGGTTTTGTACTGTACACAGTACATTCTAAGTAGGACATTAGTTTGCTAGGTTTTGAGTTGCATATAAGCAAAATCAAATGATACCTTTGCCTTGTGACTTTATTCTTTCATTCAAACTTATGTTCTTGCACAGCTGGGCAATGCTGTTATAGACAGTTATAGGTCACTCCTTTTCACTGCTCTCCAGCGTTCTACTTTAAGACTTCATCATATCTTATGTATCCATCCTTTTATTAATAGATATTTGTGATGTTTTCATCTTTTCTGATGTGAGAAGAAGCTTCTGTAAACATTATTGTAATGCAAGAATCAGTGAACATTGCCATGCATCCTCTAGAGCATGTGCCTGACCGTCAGTATTCTGGGAGGTAGTTGTGTGCACATTTGGGTTAATCATGGAAGTTAGTCCTTTCAGAAGTAGTTACAGAGCTTTTCCTTCCACCATAGTGAACAAGAATTCCCACCGATGCTCACCCTGACTTAAACAACTTATTTATTATTATTATTTCTCAGCATGCTTTAAAATTATATTGACCTGTTCATTACTGAATTTAAACATATTTTCATATGGTTAAGGGGTGTTTTTATATTTAGGAAAATTTGAGTTCTCTTCCTTAAAATAAGTACATTTTGGCCTTTTATCCCCCCTAGAAGATGGTGATCGGTTTTTATTAATGTATAAATACACACAAATACCCTTTTCTCTTGATACTACTCCTTTGATTTTCTTTTATAATTAATTGTCCTACACATTTCATTACCCCACTTATAGCCTATGCATCCGCTTGCTTTGGGGTATCTTTGGGTGGCAGTAATTTAAATTTCATCACACTCAAATGAATTAATTTTTATTTTGGTTTAATTTGGCATAATTAAGAAATATTTTCTTGCTCAGAGGTAGGTAATCTGCCATCCTAGTTCAAAAAGTTTTAGTCTCTGACCCCAGCTAAGACCCTAATAATTAAGAAATATTTTCTTGCTCAGAGGTAGGTAATCTGCCATCCTAGCTCAAAAAGTTTTAGTCTCTGACCCCAGCTAAGACCCTAAGCAATGGTGGAGAGGGTGCCTGAACTGCCCTTCTCCTGTAATCAGATTGATGACTGCCTTAATTGTCATCATAGAACCTTCATCCAGTAACTGATGGAAGCAGATACAGAGATCCACAGCTAGGCACTGGACAGAGCTCCCAGAGTCCAGTTGAAGAGAGGGAAGAGCAATAATATGAGCAAAGGGTTCAAGACCATGATGGGGATACCCACAGAAACAGCTGACCTGAGCTAGTGGGAGCTCACTGACTCTAGACTTACAGCAGGGGAACCTGCATAGGATCAAACTAGGCCCTCCAAATGTGGGTGACAGTTGTATGGCTTGGACAGTCTGTGGGGCCACTGGCAGTTGGACTATGATTTATCCCTAGTATTTTAACTGGCTCTTTGGAGCCCATTTTCTTTGGAGGGATACCTTGCTCAGCCTAGATATAGCAGGGAGGGCCTTAGTCCTGCCTCAAAGGGATGTGCCAGACTTTGTTAACTCCCCATGGGAAGCCTTACCCTCTCTGAGGATTGGATGAAGGGTGAGGTGGGGGAAAGTTGGGGGGCAGGAGGAGGGAAAGGAGTGGGAATTGGGATTGGTATGTAAAATGAGAAAAGATTATTTAAAAAATAATAACAAAAAAGTTTTGTAGTTTTACATGCACAAAATTTATGCAATCTCAAGCCAGACTGAATGCCAGAATTGAGAGGGGCATATAATGCCACACCTAGCATAATAGCTATTCTGATAGTTGGTGGGAGAGGAAGAACTAGTCTTCTTCAGGGAAGAGCACACCAATTCACTATCTAATTACAAATGGTCAGTCCTGAAAACCTGCATATGAGTAACATTATATAGATCGAACAGGTTATATTTAGAAATATATGTATATATATATATGTATATACATATATGCATGTAGCAACAATTAATGGTAAAGGAGTCAATGAATTTGAAAGAGAGCAAGGAGGGGTTGTGGGAGGTATAAGGTAGAAGAAAGAAGTGATGCAATTATATTATACTAGTAAAAGAAAAATCAGAAACCACATACACACAAAGATAGAATGCTATTATCTTATTAATTACTAAAGGATCTTCATATAGTCCCTTGTACTTCTAACTTTGGCAACTTGTGTCTTCTACCTTGGTTAGATGAGTAGACTTTCAACTATGCCATAGATCTTTGCAAAGTACTTCCTTTTCGTGTCCTTATTTTTATCTGTTGCTTTTCATTTCCTGTGCCATTGACCTTTGTGCATCTTTATGATTTCATTTCCCTGATTTCTTTAGATGAAATTTACTATTATTTTATTAGATTATTCAGGGGAGACCCTACTCAACAATATGGAAACTTTCATATCTTTAATATAAGCAATAAAATGATAATTGTCCCATGTAATTAGCTATATGTCACAAGTTGTAATGTGCTGTTTTTCATTCTCATTCAATTAAAATTTGTTCTAAATCCTTGTGTAATTTCTTCTTCAAAAATGAGTTATTTAAAATCAGGTTCCAAGTATCTGGAAACTTCCCATTCAGTTATCTCTCTGTTAACGATCTTTAGTTTAATTCCATTTTAGTCTGGGAACTTACTTCTTCTGAATTAAATGTTAATTGCATTTATTGAAGTTTGTAGTATTGTTCAGAATACAGTCTTTCTTGGAGAATGTTTGATGTGTACTTGTAAACAACAGGTGTATATTAATTGTTATAAATACAATTAATCTAGTCGTTTGTTCAGTGGTTTTTAAGTCTTGTGTGTTGCCTTTATCCTTAGTCTGTATCTCCAATCAATCAGACAACATTCTGAATTCTCCATTTATGGTCTTGAATTTATCTGTATCTCTTGTTGAACACAAAGGAAAACAAAAACCATCAAAGTGGGTACAACAATGAGAGGATGTGTTCAAGGTTCATCTGAACTAAATGGTGAGTTCAAGGTCAGTTTGGGTTATATATTAAGCTCTAGGTCATCCTGGGATACATAATGAGTCCTAGGTCATTGTGAGCTACAGTGTAATGATCAGATTATATTACTTATGTAAATTCTATTAAACCAAAACTAATCTACAGTGAATGAAGTTACTGCATGTCAGCAATTGCTTTGAGACAGGATGGAAAGCATGGAGGTATTGATTGCAAAGACCTATGAAGAAACTTTAGGGAGTGATATATGTTATTAATATTAACTTTGATGTCTTCATAAGTTTATGAACTCTAAGTTGTGTAGGTTGTTGTAGTCAAAACTCTTATGTTTTATTCTGATCTCTGATCTATTGTTATCATAGATCCCTATGATAAAATAATCTGATGAAAAACAACTTGAGGAGGAGAGGGTTTACTTGATTTAGGTCACCAACCATCCAGGTGGTCACTAAACTTCCCTGGGAAGGTTAAGAGTCAGGACACCTATTAAATGTATTAAGGAATTTTAGTTTTCTTGTATGAGAAATTAAGATCTTTGGAGAAGTTAAACTTTAAATTTCCCTCCAAGCCTCAAGCACAAATATTCTATGAAAACTTACACACACGACATCAGCGACTTAAATTTCATTTTCTTAATTTATTTATTGTGTGGGGGCAGTGCACACCACACAGTGCTTGGGGAGGTCATAGCACAACGTGACAGAGTCAGTTTCCTTCCACTATGTGGGAAACAAAATCAGTTTGTCATGGTTCGCCCCAAGCTCCTTTACCTGCTGAGCCGTCTAGCTGGCCCTCAGCAACTTTCCCCCTACTTTATTTTAGATAATCTCTTTTGGTATTTAGCTCTCACAAAGGCCTCTGCAGCTTGTTTTTACCCTTGCTTAATCAACTCGAATGGTCTTGAGAAAAATAAAAGACAAACGAGTCCCAAGACCAGCTTGTAGTTTTGTTTCTGCTGGGGTTCCATTTCACTGCTCTTCGCTGCAGAGGAAGTGAGGCATTTCCAATGTCCTTTGAAAGGACATTTGTTTTACTTACAGTGTTTGAGAACGTCACTTCTGACAAATAAAATGCATACGGCGCCTTGTGAGGCTTTGGTGCTCCTCAAGTGTAAGCTTCTAATGTGACTAATGTGTGAATCTTGCTTGAGCTGTGACAAATTAGGTTCTGGGCCCTTCAGTGAAGGGCAAAACTAACAGCTGAGAGCGTTTTATCATTTGCAGTGCTTTCTTCATTGGCAGGGACTCTTAGACGCATTGTGGACCTCAGAACAAGTTGATTATGCAAATGAAAAGGCACGGTTTTAATCTCTGAACAGAAGACAATAATGAAACGGCATTGACTTTGTGGGGTGACAGGAGATGCTGCGCAGAATCACTCATATTGAATTGTATTGTGGAAATTTTCATCTAACTCTCTCAAGTGGAAGTCTCAATCTTGAAACAAAAGAATTTTGAAATCAAAATTTATAATTAGAGAATGCCATGACTACTTTTATTTAATCCAACTTGGCTGCAATTAAAATGCACTTAATTACTGGACATTGAATGCTGTCATGCTGAAAACCCAACAAAGAGTGCTATTAAACATAGAACTTCAAATGAATGCTAAAAAAGTAAACATTATTACTTTGGCTTGGGGCCATATATACTGCTTAGGAGTTTAAGAACACAGCCACGAATCACTGAATGTCAGAGTAATGGGTTCTAAGAAATGTAGTATTGCGCAGTTTCACTGCTGGGAAAATATTAAGTATACATCCACAAATCCAGATGGTGTAGCCCACTACTCATGCAGACTACAAAGCTTTGTAATGAGTTGTTATACCAAATACCACAGGGCAGGCAACTATATCACATTTGTGTCTGTGTGTCTAAATACAGCTAAAGTCAGAAAGGATGCAGTACAAATACAGTGTAAAAGATACAAATGGCACAGCTGTGTGTGGCACTTAGGATGACAGAATTTGTAGATCTGGAAGTTTCCATGTCCAGTCAGGGAGTTGGGGGTGGGGGGATTTAATGGGAAGTCTGAGGATATTGCAGTCCATTGCTCTACAATAATCTGCTCTAAACTTACATTGACGTTTTTACCTTAGTTTATTATAACTTGTTACTTTACAAAACTCTTATTAAAAAATAAACCATCACTTATTTGAATAATACAGCATAAACACATTGTTTAATTGCAAAAATATTTTCCTTCATATTCTTATTTACAAGGGTTTTTTTTTCACTACATAGTCATTTATTTTTAAGCTATCATTAAAAGCCCAAGACAGGAACCAAATATTACAGAGGTTTTCCCAAGGCAGGGGTCACCAGTGTGATGTCTTCAGGTTCATTGTTCATCCCACTGGAGGATGAGATGAAACATGGATGGAGATGTCATCACCCATAACAAGGCCTTTTTCTGGTGGCCTCATGAAGGATAAAAAGGACCATCCCAAGGATCTTTCATAGTTAACATTTTTTTAATAAGTAGGGATATACTCTAAGGTAAAAATATCATGGAAAGCATAAACTAGTAAATAGTCAAGTTGTCAAGTTATACATATATAAATAATTGTATTTTACATGCCATTCTAGGACTGGCAGGGCAGTAGGTCTGTCTACATCAATATATGACGATGCATTGTACTAACGACTTAACAATGAGTATGGCATAACTAGCAATAGGAAGTTTTTGGAGTCATTATATTGCACACATACACTTTTGAGTAAGTAACTTGTCAGTGACTGAACATCATTATCATTTGGGTCCAAATAAAGACCCCATAGAGAAACGCTGACCCTATGATTTGCTTTTCATTGTGATTTGTGTTGTCATGTGCCAAGATCTCTCTGTGTGTGTGTCTCTCTTGTCTTTTCTCTTCTCTTCTTCTCTCATTCGTTTTACTGAAGTGATAGAGACATTTTCCCAGTTAAGTCTTTCCATGGTGAGAATTTCATAGGACATTTACATACACACAAAAAGAAAGGAAGGAAGGAAGGAAGGAAGGGAAGGGAAGGTGTAGGAGAGGAGAAGGGAGGGGAGCAGAGAGGAGGAAAGAAGAGGAGAGAAGCAGAAAGGAAAGGAGAAAAGAAATCCAAACTATCCCAGAATCTCTGTGGGGAAGATGGAAATCTAAACTACAGGTTCAGAAGGCACTGATTCAGCCTTGCATTTTGGAAAATCCTTACTTATTAACCAATCCTTTCTCCTGCAGTCTGCCACCATAGTTATCACCTTTTCAGAATACTTGATGTCTCATTCAAAATTGTCCCTATCTCTACCAGAACTTACAAGACTCAAGTCTTAAAAACAAAAAAGAAGCATGCATAGCAATACTTCTCAAGCCCATCTGCCTTCACAATCCTGATCCTGTTCATTTCACAGCAAGGTCCTGAAAGAGACAGGGAGCAATTGAGCTCAGTACTTTTTTTTATAATTTGTTCAATGTTTAAAATTTCATTTTGCATTCCAACCACAGTTCTCCCTCCCAACCCTTCTCCTGCCCCCTCTTGCCTCGCCCCAGCCCACCCCCTGTCCAATGCTCCTCACCAGTAAGGGCTTGCTTCCACGGGGAGTCAACAAAGTCTGGTATATTAAGGTGGTGCAGGACCAATTCCCTCTCCCATGCATTAAAGCTGAGCATGGGATTTCACTACAGGGAATGGGCTCCAACAAGCTAGCTCATGTACTAGGTTTGTATCATGGTCCTATTGCCAGAGGTTCCTCAGATAGTCCACATACAGAGGGCCTAGTTCGGTCCCCTGGAGTCTCTCACAACTGTCTCCCACATACAGAGGGCCTAGTTTGGTCCCCTGGAGTCTCTACAGCTGTCAGTCTAGAGCTCATGAGTTTCCATGAGCTTGGTTCAGCTGTCTTTGTAGATTTCTCCATCATGATCTTGTCCTCCCTTGCTCATATATTCCCTCCTCCCTCTCCTCTACTGGATTCCCAGAGCTTGGCCTGGTGCTTGATTGTGGATCTCTGCATCTGGTTCCATCAGTTACTGGATGAGGGCTCTATGATGATAGTTGGGAGTGTTCACCAATCTGATTACTGGAATAGGCCAGTTCAGGCATCCTCTCCACTATTGCTATGAGTCTTAGCTGGGGTCATGCTTATGGATTCTTGGGAATTATCCCAGCACTAGGTTTCTCCCTAACCCCAGTGGCTCTCTCTATTAAGATATCTCTTTCATTGCTCTTGCACTCTGTCTATTACACCTCTGCCATCCTGTTCTCTCATGTTCTCATTCCCTCTCCCCTCCTCTTTACCCCTCCCCCTCACTCCCAGTTTACCCAGGAGATCTTATCTAATTACCCTTCCCAGGGCTATCCATGTACCCCTCTTAAGGTTTCTCCTTGTTACCTACCTTCTCTGGAGCTGGAGCTCACTACTTTTCAATCACTGTTTAACAAATTCTTACGTGTTATTCATTACTCTCACCAAAGTCATTTAATGTCAAGGAAAGTCCCTAACACAGAAACAAGACTATTCCAGGGCTGGAAGGAGGGGTCAAACAAAGAAAAGGGGATGAAAATATATTAGGTGCCAATATCTTTGCTTCTAGTGACTGCGGGGTCAAGTACTATGTGTGTGTGGGAGGGGATTGGGGGACGGGACGGGACAGTGCAAAACTATCAAGTTATTCCAGTAAGTCTGGAAGAACTGAAGAATCATCAAGGCTAATACTCCCTCCCCGTCTTGACAGCTAGAGCTTTTCAGAGCATGCTTGAGCTGAGAACTTTTGTAAGCAGTGTGGAAGCAATAACGTAACACTAGGAAAGAGGACTGAAAGATGGAGTGGACCAGGAGTGTCTAGAGCTGGAGTCAGGACAATCTCCCTGAGGACCAGACACAACAACAAAGTCTGCTATCTTTCAAAGCCAATAACATGGTGCCTAGCAAAGATAGGAAGGGACTGCTGTATCACCCGATTGAGCAGAATGAGAGTCATCCAGCGGAGGCCAAAAATGGCCTAACAAGACCACAGAACTCCTATTGCCTCCATATTGAGTTGAAGGAAGGGACTGCTGTATCACCCGATTGAGCAGAATGAGAGTCATCCAGCAGAGGCCAGAAATGGCCTAACAAGACCACAGAACTCCTATTGCCTCCATATTGAGTTGCTTGAAAGTGTTCAAATCTTCACATTTCTGTCTGCCTTGTATACTAGTCATTGAGAGAGGGCCATTGATCTCCAAATACATTTTTTGGATTTGTCTCCCATCAATTTTGACAACTTTATTTGTTGTACTTTTAAGTTCTCTAATTAAGTTTAGAATCATGTTCTCTTGAAAAATCTAGCCTTTAAGGATTGTGTAAAACTTCTTTATAATAATAATTTATAATAATTTTTCTCTGAAACCTATTTTGCCTCATGAGTATGACTACTGAAATCATCTTTTAGTTAGTATCAGCATGTTATATCTTTGTGTCCATTTACTTTTAAGCTATTTGCATATTTATTTTACAATGACTTTGTTGTATATATAATTGGATTTTTTTATTGACATGATGGTCTCTCCCCCTTAATGGAAATGTTTTCACCATTTATATTTATTATTGTTGATATGGTTGCATTTAAGTCTACCACTGTGAATTCTTTATATATCCTATGCATTTATTTTTATTTCATTGTGGTGAGGAATTTAACATGTATTTGCCCTCAGTAGAATTTAAGTATGTAGCACATTATTAATTGTAAGTATGATGCTGAATGGTACATCTTTAGGATGTACTCATCTTATGCTTTTGGAACTTCACGTCTCCTGATTAGCAACTTCACACTCCAAACAGTTGGCAAAAATAGGAAGGAGTATAATAGAGTACAATGGGAACCAAGGTTAGAAAAATGAGATGCAGCAAATTAAGGAAGGTCTTGAATCCCACAATAGTATTTGAGCTTTGTTCAGCAATAAAGCCACTGATAAGAACTAACAAGAGAGGGGCAGAGCTTAAGGGTCCAGTTGCTCATGCAGTCTGGTACTTTGTCTGGAAGTTGGCATGCGTTTATCTATCCCCTATCTCTTTCTGCTGGCTCTCTTCCGAGATTCCTTCCTCTGGTGGTAATTACCTTTGTATTACTTAGTTCCAGCTTGGCCACAGTAATGAGAAATAAGAGAATAATGGGAAATAAGTGTTCCACATGCTATGCATAAATACAACAGAACATTGAGCTATTAAAATAGAGCTACCCTAAACCCTGTCTGGTAATAAATTAATAAATACAAAGTACACATTGTATTTGGAGCTTTGAATAGGATGTGCCAGGTGCATGGAAACATGGAAAAAAATCCAAGTGTCAGTATTGGTGTTCTGAGGATTTGAGGTTTCTTCTTTGTATAATTCCCTACTTTGCAGAGTAGAGTAGATTTCAACTACAGTTAGTAACAAAGTGATTTATTTTATTTTTGGTGTGTTAACTATAGAAAGTAATCTCCAGACAACAGTCTACAAAAGTCCCTACCTGAATTTGAGATTTGGAGTTCTCAAACATCTATATGCATTCTGGGTTTGAAGATCCAGAGATAAGGTACTTTGGTTTCTGGGTGTTTGATTGTTCTAGAGAGAATAAAAAGGAAGGGAAGGAACTCAAGCAGCTCTTCACTATT